AAGTATGACAAGATAATTAACACCTTACAAATGTGCATGTGCGTGCATGCGTGCGTACACGCGCGCATCCCTTCTTCATTGAATTATACATAATATTATAGCAGAATAAAGGTTAACGAGTCAGCCTAATTTTCTGGAAAATATAAAAAGTAAATGTATAATACACAACTGAATATTCCAGTCTATATGATTCCAGATTTATTAGAATAACTTAATGTTTATATATCTATAATAATGTCAATACATAAAATTATTCATTCAAACATCAATACAATTTTATTAATTACGAGCATTGTATTAATTGTATAAAACCAAACATTAATACAATCATATTTTTTTTAATTTTTTTAATCATTAAAATGAAAATCTAATGTAAATATGGAAATTTGAATTACAAATATTTTAAAAATAAATAATTATTTTAATTAATCGTTCTTCCTACGAAAGTAATTAGCTAGACTAGAATCTGAGACATAAAGATGATAATCATTTATTAAATAATTGAGGGGTTGGACAGAATAAAGGCATAATTCTACTTAGGTTCTTTTTTCGGAGATTAATGCAAATAAACAAAGAATTGATGCTGCTTACATTAGTAAAATATGAACTCATTTCGATTGTTCTATGGTAGTGAAAATGATATAATCTATAGAAAAAGAGCCTTAATCTACTTGGGCTGTTGTTTCATAGATCTATATTAAGGTATAATAGAGGTTGTTTTTGTTGTGTGTCATTCAGAAATGATAAATGTGTATCATATTCTGTGTTTGCAGCAAAAGAAGAAACCACTAGAAAAACTCTCATAGGCCATCCCCTCTAAATTTCCGCCACAATGCTTTACAAAACTCTAATGATATTGGGTTCGGTCGTTTATACTGTATATTACGCCATGTCGTGCACATTTATTTCTACGTTATCAGTGTAATTATATTAACAAAAATGGAGTATTCTAACGATTTTTTTTTAAAACAATTCGATACCGACTTATAGCTGAAAGCTATTTTTTATGAAAAAAGGCAATAATTGCATATAACATATTGTTTAATTAATTGTCGAATTATTAAAAATTGTAGAATAACGAAACCAATTTCATTAAAATGAAGATCTTAGCTTTTCAACGCATTTTGGCCAAGTTCTGTATGATAATTCGTTCAAAAGTTATATTTTTTGTGTGCGCATGCGACGCTCCATTTCGCTTGTCGCGTGCTCCGTAACTTCACTGCGCAAAGCACATATTGCATAATTTCTTACGTAAAAAGTATTGCTCGTACGACAAAAACTTACGCAATCTTTTCTGTGTAAAATTTTTTGTTTTTTAATTTTCCTCTTATATTTTCTTGGTAAAATTGATATTTATCAAGATGTTTGCAAAAAACCGAAATTTGGGGGACCTAGGGTAAATGTCTCAATTACTACCGCTTTAAGCATATATGTATGTAGTTGTAATTGAGATATTTATTTTGGAGCTTTTAAGATATATAATAGACCTCACTTTTATTATATTAAAAATTTAATATACACTAAATAAAAGCAACAAGCTCAGAAATTAACTAATTATTTAAATATAGCGAAAAAAATGTGATGTATTGAACATATTACTGCCAGCCTTTGTCCAAATACTGTCTCCCCAATTACTGCCACATATATATATACCTAATACTGTCTCCCTATTTGGTATCTACCAATGTATGTACCAACTTCTGCCAGCCAATTACTGCACAGTGTGCAGTAAATAGGGAGGCAGTATTATATCATGTGAATTATTGATACAAATTTACCATCAAAGTCATCCTGTTTTTAATTATTTCTAAAAATTGTAACAGAAGAGTACTTACATATTTATTTTCCTTAACCAATTTCTAGGTTAAAATATAGATTTAAAAATATAGATAAATATTTTTCAGCACCCTAAACAAAATATGTACATTAATCATTATACAGGTAACAGAAGTAAATATTTTTTAAGTATTATTATATAGTAATAATATTTTCCACATTGTTTTACACTTTTACTAGGTAGGTAAAAATACCTACCTAGGTAACCAGAAGAAACGTCAACGTATACGTACATAACATGTATGACGGCTATCACAAGAACTAGCGCATTACTTATAATAGCACTTGTTTACTGCCGGCAGTAATGTAAAAAAAACCTCAAACGATTGTCTCTAATGCTACCATTTCAATAAATTAAATAAAAAAAGTAATCCCATCACTTTTATATGCTTATTTAATTGAAATACCATTTAAATATTATTATAAAATTGCTTTAATACATATAAAAAAGTGAAAATATCACGTTTGCTTGCACTTTCCAATCAGTTTCCGCTTCACTTCTAATTAAAAGATCATGTAGTTTGCATCTTTAGTAACATTCCTAATTTCTTTAATTATTTTATAAATATAAATTATATTGAATATCTTATACAATTGTGGTTATATTTATATGATAGTTATAGTTTAATATTAAAAATATTCTTAATGTATAATATAATGATCTCATACTTTTATATAAATGCCACAATTAAAAAAAGCGGCAGTAATTGGGACATTGACAGTAATTGAGACATTTATCCTATTTGTTTAATTATTTTTCTTAGCGGACATTGTATAGCGGTAAACTTTTTCTTCTTCAATCTTATGCAAAAATAAAGGTCTATGCAAAAATTCTCACTGATAGAATTTTTTTCGAGTTCTGCCCAATTTTCGTCTACATTAACTGTACTATTTATACAAGTGTAAAAATAAAATGTATTTTATATTCATTTTGTATTTCTTATACAAGAGTGTAAAGATAAAAACATTTTTGTAGTTTATATTTTTTTCTTTCTATATCGATTCCTACAATACTATGATCAATATTTGGAAAAAGGGACTAAATGCATTTTTTAAATTGCAAATAACTTTTTAAATATTGATCATAATAGAGAAATATTATACATGTAACTTCTCAAAGACATTACATAAATGTAAAATTAATACTATTCCTATTTATTGTATAATAAAAAAAGTAGCAAGTTATTTTAATTTTTATAAAAATTAAGATTTTATAATTAGGCTTTTTTTCCATCCATCCCCTCAATTATAAAAGTAGAGGTATATCTTAAGGAAAATATTATATTAATTAATTTTTCTATTTCTCCTGTAATAATTTTAATGTAATTCTGAAGTTATAAATAACACTTTAAAATAATATGAATAAAATACATAATTATATATACAGAATGTTCTAAAATTTGTGAATCAGAATACTATAGCAAGAAAGTTTTGCACAAATTAAATAAAAAAGTTATATATAAATTTGTATTTTTAGCACACAATAGTTTCTGAAATATAAGGGTTTTAAAAATATAAACAATAATAACCTGCTCGTTATTGAAAAAAAAACAATATAAAATTATAAATAAATAATGGCCAAAGATGAGCGAATAAGTTGTTATAAATTTTAATGTTCTTTATATTTGCTAATAATTTTAATGTTCAATATACATTGAAATGAAATGTACGAAATAGTTTTGACATTACAAAGTCCTTTTCAGTTGTAAGGAATTATTAAAAACTATAGTATCTAAATTTATATATATAGAAATTCTTTCTGAACTCTGTAGTTATGATAATAATAGTCATGATAATAAAAGTTTTAATATGGTCAATTTGTCAATTACAAAGTACGTTTGTTTGGATGATCATCTGTGAGTATTAAAGAACGTGTTGAAATGCGCTCACTAATTCACCGCACGATTCTTGAATAGGTAATCATTTAAATTTGATCTGTGTAATTGACTATATTTAAATTCTTATTATCTAAATAAGTACTGCTCAAAATAAAAATTTACAAATAACTTTTTTACTTAATTTTTCAAAAACTTTCTTGCTACAATATCTTAAATCGTAAATTTTAAGATATTTATATATACAGGATGTCTCGAATTTAAATGACCAAACTTTGGAAGCATACAGGAAATCGATAAATTCATTGTAAGAAAAAAAAAAGTTCTTTAGAGATATGCTCGTCTTTGCTTTATAATATTTTCAAGAAAATTGTAAAAAAGACAAAACGTATTATAATTTGTCGGAATATTATTTTCGAAGCAGAATATTATTATTTTTGTATACGATTTTAGCAATAATGTTTCAGAGATAGTGCAAAAGTATGCGCGTCGATTTTCAGACAGAAGAGTACCGGATTAGCGAATCATTATGTTGACCAGATCAGTGGTTTGGTTGCAACAAGAACTGTCCATACAAGATGCAATGCATGGATTGCTGCATCAGACCAACATTTTGAACAATATCTGCATTAAGCAAATAAAAAACATGAATAAATTAGTGTGAATTAATAAGTAATAAATAATTAATAAGTAATAAATAAGTACAATAAACGTTTTATTTCTTTCTACGAGTTTCTCTAAAATAAAGCAAAAACGAGCAATCTCTCTAAAGAATCTTTTTTTTAGTTTATCGATCTCCTACACACTTTCCCGAAATTTAGTCTGCTCATTTAAATTCGGGATATCCTGTATGTAACTAGATAAGTTGTTCAATAGTTTTCTTTTTTCCAAATAAAAAAATTAATTTTTTACAAAATTATATTATTATAAGCTATATAATTTATTTTTTAAATATGTAATAAACCTGTTTTACTTTTATGAATTTATTTCATACAATTATTACTAAATCATTTTGATAATTTTCGAAATTAATTATACATATAACACGCTGTGTAGTACAGAGATATATCTATTTCTCAATTCAGATCTTCAATTCAACCACAATATCAACTCAATTGTAATTAAAATTTTGGAAAACTTTTATTTATAATTTTTGTGTTATGTATTTTATTGATTGCAGTCTGTCATTATGATGTAATTATATTCATGACCATATAATTTTTATATTTATTTGGTCTAAAAAATAAGATATAGGATTTCACTAAGATAAACATTGACTAGTATACCATATGGTATTTAATTTTCAAATTTGGAAAGTAACAGCTATCGTTAAGAGTTTAATTCAAGCGTTTCCAAAATCGATTGACATAAACTTTGCAAATTTGGTTGTGTTGTATATTCTGTATGCGTTTTTTCCAATTGTTTTAAAGTTTCTACTCCTCCTTCTCTGATCAACATCACACAATAACGTTTTGCTGAAAATAAATATGATTATTATGACACGAGATTATTGTGGATTATTATGTATAACTCTTGTATTTCAATAATTTTCTCAAAAATTGTAATTTATTAATATATTATAATTTTTATAATCAATATATTATAAATTATAATCAATATACAGGATGTTTCAGATCACTCGTACCACCCTTTCTTCGTAGGATAAGGTCCAATCGAAAAAGTGTTCAGACAAAAGTTGTAGTTCAAAGGTGATACAGGTGGTCTGAAACAAACAATATAAATTACTTATATAAAATATGAACTAATTCTTAAATTTTGTTTTTTTTTATATTATTAGAATAGATTATTACATTCCCCTAGCATAATTTATATTATATAAAATATTCTCTTTTTAAGCTTACGGTTTTTTGTGCACACATGATGAATTGCCCATACTGCCCAGAGTTGAACGGGATATGCATCTATACAACGTAACAATGGGAAAAATGGTTGGAAGCTGCGATAGGCAACCATCTCTCCTTGTGGCGTTTGCCAATGAGTTACAGCATGGACTAGTTGATCTAATAATTGCTCCCTGCTTGGTTGTGATGGCATACTACACCATGATCGAGGACCATCACTAAGTAGATGCGCAGCAATACCAGCTGCGAAATAAGATACATCAATGTGCTCGGAATCAAGCAGCATAGAAAGCATTTTTATAAAGCGAGATTGCATAAGTCGTGGTCTCAAATGATCGACCTAAAATTTAAATACAAAAAAATAAACAAATTACATGTTGATACAATGTTTCATTAAATATATAATATATATCTTTTTACATTACAAGATTATACATTCATATTGAAGACTGATACAAACCTCTGCTATATTGTTTAACAAACCAAGAACTTTAGTTTCCACACTAGATTCTCCTTGGAAGCTATCCAACACTTGAAGAAATAACTCCATTCCACCTTCATCAAGAAAAACCTTGCATGTAGCAGCACTCTCATCCGTTAAGTTCCAAAGAGCGCTTAATGTAAATTTCATTGTAATATCTACTGATTTGGATTCAACCTTAGATCTAACCATTGCAAGCAATTTCAACATATATTGCGGCTGTGCACCAAGCATAGACGTTTCCAATGTCGATATCTTTGCTGCTAATATTGAGCAAATAGCCACAGACATACGATTCATGGATGCATCATCAAATGTTGACAAGCAATTCATAACTAATCTCGCGCATCTGTTAAATTAAAAACTTGTAAATTAAAATCTTTTGTTTTTATTTATTTGTATATCACGAAAATGTTATCCATATACTGAAATTTCAATATTTCTATCTATAAATAGTAATATTAATTTACGTTTCATTCATTTTATATGCGTAAGAAAAATTAAACATACAAAGAAATACTTTTTTATTCATTTACTAGTATATTAATTTATTGTGATTTCAAATAAACTACTTTTTTTAATTTTAATGTTTATAACATGAAATGAATAAAGATACAGAAACAATTTTGTAAATAATTATGAGTTTAAATAAGACTCGAGTTTTTATCATGATGAATAAAAGGAAAGCAAGTTTTACAATAGAATAAAGTATTTCTTCATGTTATGCATAAGTATTTAAGTCTTAATAAGGTAGAAAGATTGAATAAAAGACTGATAATATACTTTGATATACATATACTATATCTATAATAAATAAGACATCAATACATCATATTGCTAAATCCAAGACTATTTAAGTGCATATGTGCACATTCTCTTTTATGTGATCAACTTCCATTTACAAAAGATAACATCTATTTTTATTGTTTATTTAATGTAATATTGTTATTAATAATTTGCATATTACAGCAAATATGCAAAAAAAATATTGATAAAGATTTTAAAATTAAAGATATTGAAATCTCAGAATACTTAATTTTGAAATTATAGATTCATGTACAAAGTGATTTATTTTAATCAATTCAATTAACTTTTTTCTTCAAAATTATTAATACGAAAAATGTTTCAGATGAAAGTGGAATGATCTCAACGATGACGTATTTTATTTATATTTTTCTTCAAGGTGCAGACGTCAAAAAAATATAAAGGTGATTTTTATTTTTTAAACAAAATTGTATAACTTTTTTGCATATGTAATTCCTCTAATTATTCTGCATATAAAAATATTAAGATAGTGATAGAAAAAAAAAACTATAAAAAGTATACAAAATATTTAAAAACCTATAAAAGTGTACAAGGTATTTTATTCTAACACCTATTGATATAAAATGATAAATATATAGTAAACTATTTATATAATTTTTTTTATAATTCTACCTTAATACTTTTATAAACAGAATAATTAGTCAATTAGTGTAAACAAAATACAGTTGTTTTTAAAAAATATGCAGTTATATGGATAATTTTTTAAATAAGCAATTATATTCGTGAAAATAATTGGAGGAAACATATTAGATAAAAAAAAATCATATAATTTCACTTTTAAAAAAAGAGATCTTCATATCTTTCTAGTGTCTCCGCTTAGAAGAAAAAATGTGACCAAAATATGTCCCTCTTAAAACTGCTCCACTGTCATCTGAAATACTTTTTCATATCATCAATAATTTCAGAAAAAATTGACTAGATTGATTAAAATGGATCATCCTGTATATATAAACTTATGTAACTACCTATATTTGTCAAACGCAACATCCTGCAGGATTCTATCGCTACACAGGGTCAATAACGTATTCTTTTGAAGTTGATGATTAGTTGGATATGATTCCATTGCTAATAAAGTTAATTCGACTATTTGTTTAAGTATTGATGGATGAATCATGAGAGCTAATTCACCCTTTGTGAGATTATAGATACACGCAGTAGCTGCCATTTGTACACGAAACTCCTGTGGATGTTCTTTCATTCCAGGTAACACTAATTTTATCACATCAACTCGTGGTTCAAGAAAGTTTGGTGTCAAACGGAATAAGTTAAATAGACATTTTTGAAGGTATATTGGTCTGTATGTATACCTCTTAAGAGCTTCCAAAATTTGAGATTCTGTTGCTGTACCACTGATCTGAAGCAAAAGACGAGATAAAATATGTATTATTTCATATGAATTTCATCTATTAAAAGTTTTTTCTTTCCGATTCTTTATCAATTAATTGTTGGTGATTATTACGCTATTTAGTTTGCATATTTATACTTTTATCTACATAATATAGAATCTAAATAACAAAATTTCTAACAAAGAAATAAAAGCTTAATTTTATAATTAATAATTTTTTTATATTTGCAAATGGAAATTGATTTGTTACAGAATACATATTTCATAGAACAAATGTACGAACAATTAATATCAAACATCAATATATTATAATTTTTCTATAACACATACAGACATGTATAGTAATATACAACTGAGAATATTAATCTTTAAAATTTAATATTATTTTAAAAAATAAATAACGATCGATACGTGCGTACACTTATTAGTTAAAAAGTTACAACACTTTTTCGATGGATTTCGGAATGCAGCTTTTGTGTTGCAACTTTTTAGCTGATGAGTGTACAACGTAGAATAAATAAATTTAATATTTTCCAATCATCAAGCGGATTATCGGTACATGGTTTGAAGTATAAACAAATATCTACAATACAAAATTAAATTAATATTAAACCGAACGAGAACTACTTTACATAACAATATTATACGTTCAAAGGAAATAATATGAGAGATGAAATATGTCAAATTTTGCATAATCAAAAGCAATAATATAGTGAATAAGAATACTACTACATATATTCACACAAATATACAATACAATGTAGTAAATATATTCCAATTTTTCAGAAATTAAAATAATAGAGACAGTACGTATAATGCCGAGCATTAATATCAATATTATGTCAACTTACAACAAGTTCAGATCTATAATCCTTATGTGTTGAATTTATAAAACTTTCATCGTAACAAGCATCAGAATGTACCAATCCCAGAAATCTCAAATGTACGTGTGATGCAATGAAATTTTTTAAATCTTTCGGATTTATATCATCTTTACCTATGTAATAAATGTTACACTTAATGAAATGTCACATCGGTATAATTAACTAATAATTTTATGAAATGCAACGTGCAATATTAAATTACTATATGTTTACACACGCACGCACGCACGCACATACATATATACATATAATTATTGTCGCATCACTTACCTGATAAGTCTAGAGTTGTTAAATGAGGCATGCAATTCAAACTTCTTAAAAAGTCTGTTATTTTTGGTTTAGCAGGTGCAAAAACTTCAAAACCATGTGGATCTTTTTCATCGGAAATATCTAAATGCCTTAATTCATTTAACTCCAGCAACACTGGTATTAAATTTCCATATCCACTTAACTTTAAATTATACATATTTAATGTCTTTAAACGATTTTTACATTTTTTTAACGGTGTTATTTCATCAACTCTTGTACAAGATATATCTAAGCTCTCTAAAAGGGGAAGATCTTCGACTACTATGTCTAAGCCATGTTTATTAAATTCTGTTCCTGAGACATTCAAGGTGTGAAGTGCCTTTAATTTATTTAATGTTGCGATATCCACCATGCGTTTTCTGTAACAAAATACATATAAAGATATAAAATTATGAATTATTATAAAGAACTTCCATAATTCAATTTGTCAAGAATTATAATAACCTTGAAAAATCCATAAAGCTTCCTTTAGCTACACTTAGCGACCTAAGATTTTGTATACTCCAATCGCCTAAACAGCTAATTAAATCATTAACAGTGATTTTCAGACCATTTACTATTAAATCTAAAACTTTATGCTGTTTAAGAACACTTAAACCTTTAGCTGACAACGTTGATGCATCTTTCAATCGTACATGCCTGCAAGAAAATGAACTGTTACTATAAATCTTTTTTTCTTTCTTCTAAGTACACTGAAGCCTCGTCACCTTAATCTAGTAGTCTTTGAATCAAAAAGTGTAATTGTTAAATCAGACAACGTGTTCTTCTCACATAGGTTGGATAATAATTGCTCTGATATTTCAGTCGGCAAGAAGGCATCTGGATGTCTAAAGGTAAGTCGGGTTGGTGAGCTGAAGGAAGCATCGTTAGATGATGTTCTACCTGCTGCAGTATCAAAAGCAACTTTTGTGCTATTACTGTTCAGTGTATAGATATCTCGTTGATCTAAAACTTGTGCTGCTTTAATTCCACAAAATCGGCGCATGAGCACTAGTTTTATATGTCACTTACCAGAGACAGAACTACTACTCAGAGTATTGGATAATACTTGAGTATTATCACTAAGGTGAATCTTGCACAAGCCAAGAAGATTACCGCAAATAAAATCAATGCAAACTTCCTGGAGACTTCTCGGAGACTCAAACATCTTATGTTTCTGCTGTCATCAGTGTAATAATCTCTACTTTTTTGTTCTATTGGCTTCCTAGAGAGCACCAGTGGTTCAGATATTTACAGTCCCATATCTTGAAAGTATAAGAGTAGAGAAAAAACGTGAATCCAATATTAACACTTTACGAGATATTCCAATACTTTAGATAAATTATACCCTCGTACTAGATTGTACAATAATAGCATCATGATTATAAATACATAGAATGTATACATATACATATATAATAAAAAAAATTCCCTCTTTCAGACACATACATGGAGATAACGTCATGTGAAATAAATCCATAATAAAGTTAACTGTACAGGCATCATGGTCGCATTCCTCGCGCGTCAATCATCATCAATGAAGCACTTTCCCAGAGAGTCGAATCTCAGCGAAGATGAGCAAATATAATCTCGCCAGCAACGTTCGGATAACAGGATTTGAAATAACGATTAGGTATGTAATATAATAATAATAATAATATAATTCTACACGCGGAAGCAGAGATGCTTATGCACTACTCAAACACGCTACTTGCACATCAAAGCGATCGAGAGATTAGTGTAGCGTGATGTATCACCATGAATATACACGGTTAACGTTTATCGACCGTTAAAGTCCATAGAGGAAGAGCTCAACGTCGGATTCTCCGAAGGTGTACGAATAACTTTGCGGAGCGATGTCGATTTTCGCTAGGACAACCACGAAAACTCGCGAACTCTCATAAGTCTCATCTGTGATGTGGACGCCATTTTGACTCGACAAATGTCAAAACAGACCATGGTGGAAATATAGGGTGCGTTCTTTTAAAGTGCCATTACATGGTAGCATCACGCGTCGAGCATCTGATGCGCAGAAACTTGTTGCGCATGATTCTGAATTTTCTGATTCCAACTTCTTGTAGTAGGGGAGGCTGATTTAAGCGGGGAGCACAGACTTTTGCATAACGCATAAACCATATACATAAAGAATTTAATTGGTCCATTGACTCATGCATAAGAAAATGGGCCAATGAAATTCCTTATGTATATGTATTATGCGTTATGCAAAAGTCTGTGCTCCCCGCTTTATACTGGCCGTAAACTGTTAACTTATGCCCATGAAGGAAGATATAAGGAGACTCCACTCGGTCTCGCCAGTCTACAAGACATGAACCCATTTTAGGTTTTGAGTTCCGTTTCCGATTCTCGACACTCGCAGCGCTCGTGAATTTAGTAGTGCTGCGCATAATGAGTGCGAGTAAGAGAAATGATCATTTCTCTTACTCGTACTCATCAGAATCGGAAGCTGAACTCGAAACCTAAAATGGGTCCACTTTTATTTTACGGAGTGGAGTCTCCTTATATCTTACTTCCTGCTTATGCCGTAATCTGTAAAAATTGACCAATCACAGTCGAATGAGAGGGGAATAATCGATTATAATTGGTCAATTTTTACAGATTACAGCATAAGTTAACAGATTACGGCCAGTATAATCCAACCTTGAGAGGTTAAAGGTTGATTTATACTGGCCGTAAACTGTTAACTTATGCCGTAATCTGTAAAAATTGACCAATCACAGTCGAATGAGAGGGGAATAATCGATTATAATTGGTCAATTTTTACAGATTACAGCATAAGTTAACAGATTACGGCCAGTATAATCCAACCCTAAAGGTTGGGTCCCTATAAAAGAGTTGTGTCAATCTGAAGTAAAATGGCGTCTAATTGGGACTCTGGCAGAAAGGGATGCTAGACCCATATATGTAATACTACTATATGGCTAGATGAGAGAGAAGTCCATGTCCCAGAACCACGGTGCGGGAATATACTTCTCTCTCTTTCTCAGTATACTTTGAACGTTGTGCGCATGAGTCGGATTCATCCCCTCCATCAATGATAAATAGAAGGATAAGTATACATAGATCGGAATCCATAGTCCGTTCTTAATCTCAAGACCGTCTTAAGTAAAGGCTTAAGATGTTAATACGGTTCTGTGATTGGTTCGTGACGTCTTAAGCACTAGCTTAAGAACATCTCGAGTCTTGAGCTAGTGCTTAAGACCACAATTGATTCATAGATATTGCTTAAGACCAAGTCTGAAGCTAAAGCGGGGAGCACAGACTTTTGCATAACACATAAAGCATGTGCATAAGGAATTTCATTGGTCCATTTTCTTATGCATGAGTCAATGAACCAATCAAATTCTTTATGTATATGGTTTATGCGTTATGCAAAAGTCTGTGCTCCCCGCTTAAGACTTGGGACCATGGACATAGAATAGAAATATAGGGACAGAGCATTAGCTCCGAAGATAGGCGAGGGGGGTTATTCTGAAATGCGGGGGGAGTACATGCCTAAATTTTATTGGCTACAGCTATGCGCATGCTCAGTATCGTGTAACATCGACTTAGCGGCCAATCGCAAATAAATGATCGAAACAAAATGATAAAAATTCGTTGTTAAAAAATTAATTGTAACCCATTACCAATAAGATTAACAAAATAAAACAATAATTAGAAATCTGAGAAGGAATTATATAGAAGTTCTAATGAGAAAAATAAAAATATGTACGCATATTCAATATTAAACAATTACTATTTATTTGGTACTTTTATTCACTATGAAAAAATTTACTAAATTTTAATAAATATTTCTTTGAATAGTTCCAGCGAAACATTTAATAAATTTAAAGACGTATTTATTAGATCTAAGAATCATTAGTTTGAATCAACTATCATTTTTTTCATTTATCTAAATATTTATTTACCATAAGTAAATATTCCATTAGGACACTTCAACGAAATATTTATTAAAATTTAACACCACAAATTTGTTTCTTAGTGTAGATAAAAAAAATACAAATTAGGATTTTAGATTTATATAGATGGATTATATGTATAATACTACGTAGAATAAAAATTATAGAATTAAATTTTTCCATAACATGTAATACTGCTTGAAAATGTGAAACCGAAATTTGTTGTGCCCTTCTCGAGAGTAACATTTATAAAAAAAAAAAGTATTAAAATAAATTAATAATAATAATAATCCAAGGCAATATACGTATTAAAATACTTAAAAGCTATGCAGAATAAAAGGAACAGAGAACAGAGTATAATAAAAAAAATACATAAATACATAAATTACAATGTAATTTTACGATTTTTGTTCACACTGCTTGTCCATTTCCAATTTTGAATGTCGGATCTATTTCTACAATTCGGTACACAACATTGGACCATTTTAATTTCAAGATATTATGTGAGAGCTAAGCCGAGAAAAAATGTCAAGACTTCACCGGTGCTGAGACTTGAATCCAGTTAGAGGTTAGAGTTGCATGCTCACATATCACACTTGTCACTTGCGCATGCGTACAATAACAACCAATCAGACTTAGGCATGTATTACCTCGTCGCACCGTCCCGCAGTGGCTTCCCCCCCGCAACGTTATGCTCTGTCCCTCTATTTCTATGTCCATGGGATGGGCTCGTCTCGATTGTTCGGCGTTTCGTCGTCGACTAGGTCTCCTGACGCGCGTTGTTGCGGTAATGCGGTGTGACCATGGTGGAAGTATACATGGTGTGCTTAGTTTTGCGTTGTCTCATTCTAAAATCTCCCGACTCTCTCTTTTCTTGTCGCCGAAAAACATAGGCCTGCCACCACAAAAAATATTCCTAGAATAGTGGGTATTTCGCGCTGTTATGTTGCAAATCACACTAGGAAGCAGCACATGTATACACACAGACACACAATGCATATAAACATTGACATCTCTACTTTAATATCTAATAATTGTAATTAAAGTATGTATATAGGCCTGTTCTTTTTGCCTGCACTGTCTGAACTGGTACATACAGTGCAATAAGTTGAAATGAAACAAACGTATATCTGTTTCACTTCAACTTATTGCACTCTGTGTACCAGTTCGGTAAAAAGAACAGGCCTTATATTCACATGTGCATAATAAGCTAAGCTTATAAATTAAGCTTACATGTGCATTGCAGCATGAATCGGTGTCTTCTTCGACACTAGCTGTAGATAGTTTGCTTCAGATAGTTTTAGTAGTTAATTTAATATAAGTAATAGACATTATTAAGAAAAACACTTTACAGATTTTACATAAATTGTCTATATCAATTTTACTCAATGTGCATGTATGCATACGAGTAAAATGTATATTTTTGGAGTCTCAGAAAAAGTAGCAGAAGAAGACAATATTATAATGTTTCAACAAAATCGAAGTAAAAATAAACATTGACATAAATTTGACTTAAAGTTATTAAATATTACTATTATCAACACTTACCATTTAGAGTATTGGATGGAATTACACTTCCTATGTTTTTAAGCCACCCTTCACGCATAATGGCATTATTCGGCAACTTGTGGAAGCTTACTTCCTCCGGAGTACACGTTATGTTGGTGTTCTTACACGCTTTAACAATACACCGCACCATTTTACTTCAAATTTTCACTTTAATTTCAAAATAACAGGCCTGCACGTTTCTTTCAGGAGATGGCTAAAGACAGACTGAGATAGATGCTCCACGGCGCATGCATAAAAGAGACACTACTAGTTCAGTACTGCCAACCTTTCTAAGTTGGCCGCCCTATGTTTTTCGGTGACAACCGCGTTGAAAAGGGGCGTGGTTTACGAGTTCTGAGCACACCATGTATACTTCCACCATGGGTGTGACGACGCCGTAGACGCAGGCGCCCGGTGACCGTTCGAGCAACGCCATTTTCGCGGGCATTGCATCACCCGTTAAGGTGCAGTCACATGGAGTCAGAAATAACGGAACGGAACAGTAACGGAACATTGATAAAAAAAGAGATAGGATTGTTGTATCTCTTTTCTATCAATGTTCCGTTACTGTTCCGTTCCGTTATTTCTGACTCCATGTGACTGCACCCTTACTGTTACTACCATAGACGAAATCTGTATCGACGTGATCTGGCCGTATTGTCTCCGCTCACTTTAAGGAGGAGGCAGGAGCCATTAACTAATAAGAAGAAGAAGAAGAAGAACCAGACAAGCCTGATTGAGTCTGATCACTTTGGAATCAAACAAAGAATTGAGTTTGATAAGGTTAAGGGCTCTCGATGAATAATATCAATAAATATTAATGATAAAAATCTATTACTTATACCTCTATAATTCCAGTTATGCGAGCATATTGGCCAGCACCACCAGATTGTTTCTTATAAAGATAGTAAAATTCACATGGTTTAGTTAAGTCTCGCGGAAAGAAACTTTTGGCTTTCCAAGAATGACCGAACAAGCCTGATCTCTTTGGAATCAAACAAAGAATTGACTTTGATAAGGTTAAGGGTTTCCCAGTGCCAAGGGTTACTCTTTCAATTCCTTATCTTTCTTTCAATCCCCTCTCTCAGAGTATACGGCTATACGCATGCGTGAAACGAGAGAGAACGAAACGGTTCCAAATGAGTGCGTCCTTTTCTAGATAGAATTACCCCCATTCCTCAAATTTCCGACAATGCGTACTCTAGTACTACTATCTCTATGCGACAGCATAAGCTAATACATATATACTGCGCATACTCGTGATGCTCGACGCTCGACGTTTGATGCTCCCATGTAAAGATACCTTTAGGCATCGGATTTGGCAGCCGCTGCGCATCGGATTTGCCGAACGGGCGTTTTTTAGGGCTGCGCACAATAGGAGAAATATTAGGAACAGATATTAATGCCTGGTTTATGCTTCAGGTCTTAATCCCAAGATCCTAAAATTCAACCAATAAAGCTGCCAGTTCTTCTAACAGAAATTTGAACTCTATTGGCTGAATTTTAGGATTAAGACCTTAAAGCGGGGAGCACAGACTTTTGCATAACGCATAAACCATATACATAAAGAATTTTATTGGTCCATTGACTCATGCATAAGAAAATGGGCCAATGAAATTCCTTATGCACATGCTTTATGCGTTAATGCAAAAGTGTGTGTTTCTCGCCTATGATATCTGTCATCCCGATTCGATATATATTATGTATATGTGTACACATACGTGTACACAGTCGCAAGTATACTGCACACATATAAATATTCAATATGGCGATGAAATGTTGCAAGTTATTCCGTTCGGCGGACATGGCAGTACCTTAGAACATATAGTACTGGAAGGAGCATAGTCTCTTGAAAGTGAAGGCGAGTAGATTGACAGAGAGAAATAGATTAAGATCGTAGTTGGTAATGCGCATGACTGTAGGGAGGGAATGCGCGCGCAAGCGAATTATACACAGCTGTCAGCTGCAGTATACATTTGATATATGAATTTAAGGTTAAAGTGAAAAGGCTAATAAATTTCAATTTATAATAAGAAAAACATTTAAGTGACAGCCAAGTGATAATTTATACATTTATTAAATGATGAATAAAAAACGTCTTTGAGTGCTAATGATAAATTATATTTATTTATTGGTTATTGAACAATATAAGTTTTGTATATTTGTGCCTGATATAATTATCTTTTTCACAAATTTGTTTATTCGTATAATGGATTCGAATTTTTAGATATTAAAGAGTAATTAC